TGCAGCCTGTGACCAATCTGTCGTCAGAGACTGCTAAAACAGTTTCTGTGTGCAGTCTGTTGCCATTCTGTCAACAGACACTGTTGACAGACTCTGCGTAAAATCTGCTCGCACAGGTTTGGCTATCTGGGTTTAAAATTAAAGCTTTTATATGTGACACACCAGCTAAGGCATTTATAAAATTCACTAAGGGTCATATGGGTTATTATTCATGTTCGAAATGTGATAGAAGGAAGTTTTTTTAATAATAAGATATGTTTTCCAAATTCAAGTAACTTGCGTTTAAGAAGTGATAACGATTTTAGATTAAAATTACAAGAAGAACACCACACGGGCACGTCAATATTAGAGTCAATTCCAAATTTAAATATGATAACTGATTTTCCATTAGATCCAATGCATTTAATATATCTAGGAGTTGTCAAAAAGTTACTTTTTTTACTATGGTACAATGGAAAGTCATCTTCAAAATTATCTTCCGTTTAAATAACCGAAATATCCAATTTATTAGTTTACCAGAAAAAAAATATACTATATGAATTTAAACCGTAAACCAAGATTTCTAAACGAATGTGCAAGATGGAAGGCAACTGAATTCAAACAATTTTTACATTATACAGGACCTGTTGTTTTAAAATCAGTTCTCAGTAATGATAGATATCTTAATTTTATAACGTTACATGTAGCTATTACTATATTGTCAAGTACAAAACATTTTGAATATATAAATGCTAATTATGCTAATTCATTACTTCATTATTTTGTAGAAACTTTTACTATTCTTTATGGCAAACAGAATATTTCATCTAATATACATAACTTATTACACATTTGTGATGATTTAAAAAATTTTGGATGTTTGGAAGAATTCAGTGCCTTCCCTTTTGAAAATTTTATGCAATCAATAAAAAAATTGATACGTAAAAATGATAAACAATTACAGCAGATCATATTTCGTACATATGAACAAGACTGTTTTACATATAGTGAAAAAGCAGAAAGAAATATGATTCCTCAACTACTTAATCAGCATCATAAAGGACCTTTAATAGACATTTCATGTTCTAAACAATGGGAAAATATTTTATTTCGTAACTTTACTTTAAAAATACAAGAGCCAGATAACTGTTGTTGTTTACACGATGGCAGCATTATTAATATTAAAAATTTTGTTTCCAATGATGTTAACAACTTTTTATTAGGTCATAAATATCAAACACTGCAAGATTTATATAGTCAACCATGTAGATCGTCCCAATTAAAAATTTTTGTAGTCAATAATGATATAAGTCCTCTGCAAAAATGGAACATAAATGAAGTTGCATATAAATGTATAAAACTCAAGTTCAATGATAAATTCGTTATTTTTCCTATGTTGCATTACAAATAACTTTATAATATTAGTAAATATTGTTTATTTATGAAGAATATTTTCTTTAATTACTGGACACCCTACACACACACACACACACACATGTAGAGTTTGCGATACTTCACTTATTTTAAATTTAGTTGCAGAAAAATTCAAAGATAAAATGGCTCGTTCATGGAGCGTTGTAAAATTTGATATGGAAAATACGGTGGAAGCGGTACCATCAAGATGGATATTTAATAATAAATGTTATTGACCCCCATACTCTATAGCAAAAATACAAGCTGCGATAAGAAATAATGAAGAACCTAACACTTGCTAGCCTTCACACAATGTAACCGTATTTCGAAATAGCACCTATGGTAAGTATTTTATTGACTAAAACATATTTTTTTAGTCAAAAACATTTAGCATTTTATCAACAAATTGTATATTAAAACAATTTATACTATGTATTTTTAGAAAATTACTCAATCGCAAAGGAGAAAGCTAAAAAAGCTGAATTCACGTCCGATTTGAATTCAGATATTGAGAAGTTAGATTCGCCACGTATATAAAAAAAAAACATATACAAAACGATATTGCTGCTCTTCATCTGAAGAAGATGAAATTGATGAGGTGACCAATTTACCCAGGTCTCCACCTCTTCAAAAAGGTTTGTTCGATTACAAAATGTGTTGATTATTACTAACACATATGATACTATACGTAACAATATTATAAAATTTAATGCGTAGTACATTATTGTGTTATTACGTATAGTTATATTATAAAATTTCATGCGTAGTACCTTATTGTGTTATTACATCTCTTATAGAAATATCATACTAAGAATCATTGATAATTACTTATT